AAGGTTAGTTACTCCCCACAAATATATTATTTGTGTAATAAGAAACAAAATTAATTAGATAGTGGGCAATGCATCTTCCTAGTTGGCATTAGTTAGTTGAAAACCCTTGTACATGTTCTAGTATTCCTATGCCATACGGCGGCCATCTTGGATTTTTCAATAAGTCCAAGGACACTAGTTTGTTATCTGACACATATGCATAATATGGGTAATAAGGATGTGGAAAACATTGAGAAAATACTTAATTTGATAAAAATCAACATAGATATGTATATATTTCTACAAAATTTCACAAATTGGCGGCCATTTTGGATTTTTTGGCCAAACGGTAAATTTTTTCCGTGGGCTACGGCTCTAATTTGATTTAGTATGTCAAAAGGTACCCACATGCAAAATTTGGTGCTTTTATCCGCTGTGTCACGATTTGGCCATTTTTTTGCCCTAAGCAACCGGACTAATAGGTATGCTTAACATAATTGAATGCATTAAATCTGATAAGTGAAAACCCTCACCTGTAAATATTGCACAACAATTAGTATTTAAACCATCACTCTTGATGCCATTTAGATAAAGCATACATGCATTGCAGTGTGTACATTGTAGATAATGAGTGATTTTTTTAATTAGGAACTGAAGATGTGAGGTTGTTTGTTATGCTTTTCTGTTCACGAAAAGTGGACGACATAGTCGGATGTCGAGTTATGCCGGAACGCTGTGAGTTACACATATTATAATCATCCGAAAATTAATACAACGGTGTTGTATATAGATGCATATAGATATATATTATTTTAGAAAAATAAATTGGCGGAGGGGGTAACAATATATAACATTTATATATCCTTCAATGCATTTAATATAAAACTATTTATTAACTAAAAGTCTACTAATATACGTCCAATGTGTGTCAGTATTATGTTATCAATACATTTTGAGCTGTCTCTTAACATCTTAATATCAATACATATTTAACGAGTGATGTATGCAATATATTACTGATCGCATTCAACTTTTTCCTCTGCCTTTTACAGCACGATCGCACCTATCGCATTCGCTCACCACCAGCTGTACGCGCTCTTCTTCACTAGAGCCACCTATAGGCTAGTGCAAGTACTAAGATAATGGTCCCTATATGGAAATCATGGTTGTGAATAGTATCACTTCATTTTAGTCTAATTTGAATGTTTTCTGGTGGTTAGTTGTACTTTAAGACTCCGTCACAACTAGCGGAATGACGTGCATGTGAAAATTTGCGTATCGTATGTGGCATCGATTATGTTCACAACTCTGAGCATATGAAATCGCCCTAATTAAAATGGAATTAGAAGTAGCGTATGGAATTGTTTTAGAACATGCTCCCTCCAGGTGCGCACACCAACGTGTGCCTGAGTATACGCGTTCGTCCTGAGTACGTAATTCGTACGAACCCCTTGCCTAAGTCTGCGTATGGACATTTTTTTCTTATACGTTAGTGCTTTTTGCTTGCCTTACAAAGCACGCGTTAAGAATTGGAAACTAAAATAAAAAAATGCTTTTTTTCAAATGAGACTGAAACTATTCAAATCAATGTGGCATTTTAAATATTCGTAGAGGTTGAGTCCATAATTTGGGAGCATACAAAGTAAAAAAAAACATGTCAATTTATGTTAACAAATCTTTACTAAGGAGATAAGAAAGTACCGTCCGTTCCAGGATTATTAGTAGAGGAAGAAATTTTACTTTTATATGAATGGCATAGGAAAGGAAATTGCATGTTTTTGTCGTGTTTCCCTTAAAAATGTCTCATTCTCTTTTAAGTATCATCAGTTAATATGATGACTTAATTTTATTACAAAACGCCAATACTATAACAATTTCTGTTTGATATAATAAAATATCCCCCCAAGTTATACCATATTTATTGATTTGATAAAATGCGGTTTTAGAAATAGAACGGAAGTAGTTGTTTTTGTTAATGTTAACGCGTTGTTTCTTTTGATTTCCTTAACCATTTCGCAGGGTGAAAAAGAAACCACTCATGGTTAAAACCTACGCACCTACGCATAACGCCCCCACAACGTAAGGGTACTCCACTTCTTTCAGCAAAGCATGCAGAATCACATTGCGGTGAACGGGGCGGTTTCTTAAGACCTCTTTACACTGGACGGCGTCTTTTCTGCTTTATAAGACCTATAGTAGCTGTTACCCTCAGTTTTCATTTCTTTGGTGAAAAATACCCTAGCAAAGACCCGTTTGAGAGTAAAAATATTATATTTTTTCGTGTTGACCACTGCGCATTCATTCTGCAACCAAAGTGATGCATGTGCGTCCTTTCTGGAACCACAGCGATGCCTGTGCGTCTTCTGAGCGTCCCTCAGTGATCTTGCAGGGACTAACCTCCACCGCGTTACTAGCGTCCTCGGCGATTCTTGAACTTCAGTGTGCAATCGTAGCGATCACCGTAACTTGTTTGAGCGTCCAACGGCGACCTTGCCAGTTTTATGGTCGCTCAAAGGACACAAAAGGACGCCATCCAGTGTGAAGGGGGGAGGGGAGGTTAGTGCAGGCGCTTTGTCCTAAAAACTGACATCTTCCAACGCTCACTTAAACGGACAAAGTCTGTATTTGCTTTTTTTTATTTTGAAAATATAAAAAGAAAAAATAAGGAGTGAATGTATCTGCATATAATTATTTGAAAAGAAAAGTTCAAATCAACCACGCGTGAATATACATGTATTACATAAAATTCATTTAATCCGTTAATCTAAAGATATAAAAGTACGTCAATTTGACAAGTATTAAATGGCTATGTGCACGTCCCGGGTATGTAATCACCACAAGGACCACAACAAATGATATGACGTGTCCGTGACTCATGCGGTACGGTGGTCGTATTTTAATCGTTACTCTGTGCTTGCAACACCGCAGCCGACATAGATATATGTTAATTTATGCGGGAAGGCACGAGGGGGTCGTGACGGTAAAAAGAGATAACGAGTGTGACGTCACGGCTAGGATTTCATGTGGGGATTTCTCGTTTTCCTGGTGGATTGTGGTTAGGGCAGTTCTGCGGCTTGCTGGGTTGCGCTTAACAGAAGTGGAAGACTCCTCGAAGAGGTAGGTTGGGAAAAGAATTATTCCTTTGAATTGTTATGGTATCTTTATATGGTTTTGACAGCAATATTATATTGAATACCCCGATTGTGTGGAATCAGACCGTATTGTATCATATATTTGGATAAGTCTGCGGTACAAATGTAGGCTTACTGTGGATACTGTTTTGACGTAACCCAAAATTGTTTTGGAATAACACAATGCATATAAATTATATTAGAGAGAAGTCATTTAAAGTACTTGTAAATTTACCCTTAAACATTAGCGCATTTTTTCACACTGATTTGATACAGTTAAAATGTTGGTGCTTGTTTAATAAAAGTCATTTTGGGCTAAAATTCACTTTAGTTGCGTTATCAAGAATATAAGAATAGTAAGCCATTTGAGCAAATAGAGAATGGCTTGATAAAATTTTTTTTCCAATCACTGGTGACAGCATTTAGGCATGTCATGTACATTTATTCCGGGGAAATCATTCTAATTCTTCTAAAAAAAACAGCTCTTAGGGCAATAGATCGCAAAGTCGACTTTAGTCCAAGTACTAAAGAAATAGCCCCCCCCCCGTATGTGAGAGGTAGTGGAGGTATGTAAGAATAAACTTATCTCAATGGGTTAAAAGTTTTGTTGTTTCGGTCCGTGTCCACCCCGTTTTTGAATACATCTTTATATTTCATATGATACCGCCTTAAAATAGCACCAACGGTTACACATAAGTGATCAAGCGAAAACGCAACACGGTGGCCTCTCAACAGTTATTAATCAAATATCCATATGAATTTCAGATTCAAAGGCAGATGGCGTCCACAGTATTAGCTGTTGTGGTTCTTGGACTGTGTCTGGTACAACCTGGAGAACCCTTTTTCGGTAACGGATGTAAGTAGGCCTACTGTAACAAATATTTAAACGAACAGGCAATGTCGTAACTACATCAAGCTGTCGAGGAGGCTTTTGGAGAGGGGGCGTTGCCCGTAACTTTTTATAAAATAAAACAACAATTGAAAAAACTGAACTGCATTAAGTTTTTAGCAAGACTATTTTTAAAAAAAGATTGGTAGACCTATATATTTATTTTTTAATTCTTGTTATATTTTATCATTTCAAAGTTTTAATTAGAACGCCCCAGATAATGCACTTATTGAGATATACGTTCGACTAAAGCAAAGGAAACTAAAAAGGATGTCATTTTAAATTGGCGAATATGAATCCGTTAAAGCATAAAGCAAAAGAAATAATGGGTTTCCTATTTCCTATTTCTTGTCCAACAGTTTTCTGGCCGTCTGCCTGGCAAGTGCAGACCCGTCGTGGTCCGCTGTGTATGGAGTGTGACTCCGCATGGCACTCCAGGTGTACAGAGACAGCCATTCCGGACCACGACCAAGATATCAGCACGACGAGAGCTACCAAATACTGCTATGTCATGAAGGAAATGAATCGTAAGTAGATCTAATTTATATTTTTCTGTTATTTCTTTAATCAAGGGGAGTATACGTAAAGGTTTGGTTTCATGTTTTTGAAAAACCTTTCTGTTCTGGGAATAAAAGATCATCGTACTTAAAAAATCAACTTTAAATGAATAACGACAGACATTAGACCAATGTTGATATATTTATTTAATCAGTGGCAATTTCTCAACATAGGAATAATTGTTTCCCTGTCAACAACCAAATGTCCACTTTCATTAAACGCTTAACTTAAGGATTGAAATGGTAAAATTATTATCTCTGTAATGTAAGACATTCATAACTTAAAGAGATACTTATCTAAATGAGAAATCTATTGACTTTTGGGATGATACTTTAATTATTTTTTAATTACTTTCTGTGGATTGCTCATCGTCGGTTCTTTCATGCCCTGGCGCGTGCCTAGATAGCGTCTAATAATCTGATGCCGTCATCGTCGTTTAATGATAAATCTAACGCAAAGGCGACTGAGTCCACTGTTTAAGTCTTAATGAACTTAAGTCACGAAATAATTTTGACGCTGAATTGAAGACAACCAAGATTTAGGAGGGAATTAAACTGTACTGGCGTTCATTAACATAAGTGCTAGTACGTAAGTGTATTAGATGCATATTAAAGTAACATATTAAAGTAATCGTCCTTAATAAATATGTGAACATAATGACAGCACTTAATCTCGACAGGTCACTATAATTTAGGGGAATCTCTGAACTATTATTTGCGCTGACATGAATTTTGCACGTCGTCATTGCAACAGCCATTTTGTCCTTATCTAGGCCATCTTACATGTTCACGCTGTCTTGGCATTAATTCCATTAAAAGTTTGACAGCCGCCATTTATTTTGCTACATTACTTTCAGCTACAATGCAGTATTTTCACTCATATCTGGGGTGAATTCAAAACCGTTTCAGTGGTTTAATTTCCAAGCCGGGTGAATAACATTATCATTTTGCCCCTCCCCTTTTATACGAACGTAGACTGATATCAGTAACGTGATATTCAAATTATTGTTTTTCTTTTTATCAAGAGCTTGTAAAATATGTGGGTATTACCTCCAATATTTCTGTGACTGTCAGTCACCATCATCAGGGAGTAAATGACTAGGGTCATTTCACCTGGAATGAAAATGAGGATGTAACAGTTACAACACAAGGCCAGTGATAGGGGCAATTGACCAGGATTTTACAAGCTCTTGATAAAAAGAAAAACAATAATTTGAATTGATACATACAGAGCTAATGAAACTGTTCTCTCAGTAACGTGATAAACTTAAAATCCACAATTTAACTTTTTTCTTCCGCCAACAGCGATAGAAGGAGGGTATCTCAATGATTACCACTTTGTCGTCCATTTTAAACCTAACACCGCATTTACAACCATTTTTGCATAATTTCAGTCTTCAACGGAACATCTGTGGTAACCAGAGGGCGAGCAGACGACCTCAGCATCCGGGTTCCTAGCCGAGGAGGGTGTGCCGTCAAAGACAACAAAGATGGCCGCCTTTTGGCGCTCTGCGTCTGCAATACTGATAACTGCAATGGGAAATCCGTAGGCGACCTTGGCGGCCAATTTCGAATGAAGGAAGACACAGCGAAATTGGTGGAAGATGTTATAAAACCTCCGAGTAAGTCACATTTTATTGATAATTGGAAGAAAGATAACTTAAATGCCTTCATACCTTGATCTCAGTATTCTTAAGAGTTGTATTTAATAATTTAGCTTCTCATGCAACGAAAAGATTGACAAGAGTATTCTTTCTCTGTATTAGCAAGCTGATTAATGAATGCAGGCCCTGATATAATGGAATATAGAACGCAATTTTTGAAAATGGACTCACCATTTTCCCTTTAAATGTAGAACTTAAACCGTGGTCTTTTATTAAACAGAGCAACGTGAGATGGCGGAAATCAGCAAAGAAGATTTGATATCACTGGAAATAGCCTTGCAGCAACAAAAGGAAGACGAGGAAGAAGAAAATGACAACGAACTTGAAAGACCTCTGTTGCCACCTAAGAAAAATGACAAACCCAAACCAGGAAAAGGCAAGGGGAAAGGCAAAGGCAAGGGTAAAGGGCAGGACAGGGGCAAAGGGCAGGGTCGAGGTCGAGGTCGAGGTCAAGGTCAAGCTAAAGTTGATTTCTCATCTTCGTTTCTGAACGGGAATGTCATAGGTCCAGCTCTAAATGGCGCTTTGCCGTTCTTTGGCCTTGGCGCTCTTCCCAATAAACCAAGGCGCGGGAAAAGGCAGACGACCGGAAACGATCCCTATGACGTCACTCAGATTTGCTCCTACTGTGGCGACCTCAAGTGTCCGACGGACTTTGCTCTTCCTCCCTACACCAGTTCTATCATGAATGACCCGGCAAAAGCATGCAAGCGCAGACACAATGGCAACTACCAGCTGTGTGATTCCTGTGTCAACTACGTCACGTGCGAGATGGAAAACTTCCGGTTCCGAAGTTGCACTCCGGGATTGGTGTGGAATGATTTCACGAAAACGTGCGTCTACCCTTGGGAAGAGTCCCCCATGGCGTCCTGCTACTTAACTTACTCGGACAGGAGGACAATCTGTGATCATTATTACAACCAGGAGGTGTCCAGTTTTTGTGCGTTTTATCAGAATTATTTCACCGGAATATGTGATGCGTCCTTGTATCCATACTCGGGACGATGTGCTGGAAATTAGATCTCGACTGAGAGATTTTTAAAACTCCATCTTGCCAACAGATATTTTGGAAATGCAGCTTTTACAGAACTTTTAAGGACTATAGACTGATAAATTTTTACCTTACTTATGGTACGAATTATATGTGGAATTGATTTTGGTTGTACATAATCAGCGTTAAGTTCGAAAAAAAAAAAAAAAACCGTACGGTTTTACTATCTCGAAATGCTTGGTATTAGGTGTAGATTGTGTGGAGTACTCAGTATGCCAAATTAATTCAACGGACAAATCAACAAATACCTCAGAGTCGGCTTGAACATCCTGTCCGTCAAATAACATTTACTCTTCTGGTTAACTACTAATACGTCATCGTGTCGATCATGATTTCAACATTGAAGCCGTTTTCATAAAACTCACTATTTAATGCAAGATTGTCATAGTTCTGAGAACCAAGAAACGTGTACATAATTTTATATTAAATATTTATTGCATTATTAAAGGTTTTAACAAAGTCCGTGTTCTTTTTCATGGAATTTTTAAGATTTCTGATAATGTTAAATACTGCACATAAGCATGAATGCCCAAAAACCTGTGTTTACTTGTAGTGCAATATACTGCTTTCAAAGTAGCGTACCGTATTTGAACCACTTGGAAAAGCTTCGCTCTTCTGTAGCATTGAAGTTTTAATAGTCTTACTTGAACTGACTCTCCATTCGCTTGTTGCATTTGACTTTGAATTAAGCCACAAAAAATTAAGAAGTCCATCGTATGTTTGTTACATACAATAAGATCATGCTTACAGGTATTCTAAGCGGGATTTTATATTTAAATTTTAAATAAGATGTAATTTTTCTTGAGCAAAAAAAGAAAAAAAATTCTCCTATTAACGTATTATTTTCAAACTTGTCTCTACAATTGAATTTGACACTTTGTATCCTTTTAAGCAATTACGCAGTTTAATTATGAACGAATAGTCGTGATTCATCTATACCACCATGTCCTCCTGACATGTTAGAGATAAAGATTGGGGTCGACTGTTTGTTCTTTTCTTTTCTATACTATCCCCCTGTTTTGAGATAATCATTTTTAAGGTCGGAATTGATAAAACAGCCTTTGCAGGATATTTAGTCATGGAATTATGATTTTGAAACATTTTCAAACGCGTAGAGAACCAGTCACCTCTATTCTACATATAGCTCACTTCGACCAGGCATGTCGTTGACATCAATCTTCTGTCAGGCATTTGGCTTTCATAAACAAATGCGATGAAAATATTTCATATGTTAATATGTTCTTGGAGGGTAAGCGCTCAAATAATACATATATATGAAAATTGCGCTGTGAATACCTATTATTACCCGTTATCTTAATATGGCACGTACAGGCGACAACGCAGGCCACTTTTCCCACCAAATCGTCCCCTGAGTAATAACAAGATGATATCTACAAGGAAACCGCGCAGTAGCTGTACTGTATCCATCAGTGTGATATGTTGATATTCAAAAGAAGAGATCACAGCTTGTCACACTTTAGGACCTAGATGTGTAGTATGACGGCCACCAGTACAAATACATCTGGATTACAACAAAAGAAGAGAATTAGACAATTAATAAATAAATAAAAAAGAACCAATTCATTCCATATTATATCAATCATAATGTTCTCATTTGATTGGTAAACAACTTATTATCTTTTGTCTTGTAGCACTTTTGACATGCTTTCATTTATTTATTTATTTATGATAATACGGTTGATATATCAGACAAAAATGTCGCAATTTACTTTTTCTATAAAGATATTTTGAAATGAAAGATAAAATGAAAAAGAATATCAAGATAGTGCAAAATGCCCTGTCCTTTTTTCTTTCTTTGCTGGCACAAGACCTTACCTGCGGTTTTATTGTCATAATATAAATATAATCACATCACTTACAAAGGGCACAAGCTTATCACTAAACATAATTTCCTTAAACGAGAAACCCACATCACAGATAAGAGATGCCAACGCTTTGCCGTGCGTTTTATCAAAACCCAATCGTTTTATTCGGTAAATTAGGTTCACAGGACAAAGCTACAGCGTACACCCACCCTGAATTTCGAACTACGGAAAACTTTTTATTCAGCCCTTGCAAGAGGTTTGACGTGCATGAGTTATGAAGTAATTTTTGTCTCTTAAACCCAGGGTGATAAGGACTAGATTGGCGTGAAACAGTGTTTAAAGCTCTCAAAGCGAACTCATATCCCGGTACTTTTATTATTTTATAGGAAAACCATAAGAATATCTATTTTAGGCCGGTATCAATAATTAATCGCCGTTATTGTGCATAATCAGTATTTATTCTTGACAATATAATTAAAATATAAAAAATGGAAAGGGTGTCATCGTTTTTCTTTACACCCTGAGTTTTTAAGTATACTGGGAAATTGCCCCTGATCAGCAGGCGTGAAAAGCAACGATTTGCATAATGACAATAATGGCTACTAACAAAACATTTAGATAGAAAAGCCGGATAAGAGGCATTCTTTACCAAATGCCCTTCTATCTGTCCAAGAAGTGACAAAATCGAGTGATGGAGATTTTAGAAAACGGGTACCCCCATCCAAGTTAAGAAACATTCTTTTTCATACAAGTAAAGAAAAGTAAGCTATTTAAGATTTAAAAAAAAATCAAATTCCAGATATAAATTAACTTTTATTTACAAGACAATAAATACAACAGCTTTCAACCCCGATAAGTTAAAAATAAATCAGTGTATTTGTAAACTATTATGAATGAAAAACCACTTCATTTCAAAGTTGAGTCTATTCTTTTTGTCCGCTGATGGTAAGCAAATAACTGTAAACAGAAATAAAACGTTAAAAAAATTTGATTTCCTTTATGTAATGAATGCTGAAGGATATTAACTTTTGGAGAAAGCTATTTTATAAAAATCATAAATCCAGGGGATAACATTTTGTCGGTAGCATCCATATAATACCCAACCAATGATCTACGCAGTTGGTTTCTACTAACAAGTAAGAACTACCGTTATACAGGACGTCCTTGTTAACTGCTATTCCAGATAGCAAATGCGTGGCCATTCACGTAAAAAGTGAAATTATGAATTTATATGGATTTTAACCATTCCAAAAAACAACACCCCAAAACCATTCAAAAGTACCGCTATTCCAGATGGCGAACCCGGGCCTAGATGTGTACGAATTACACTTTTGTGAAGTTTTAGGATAAATGTTAGAATCACAAATACCCTTAAAGAAAGAATTATACTTGTTGCAGAAGTTCCTATCTTTATCTTCGTTGTAGTAATACTCGCACATGTTTCGCTGGTCTTCGTAGGTTAAATAGCACGTGGTGGCCAACCAGGGTTGTACGCAGGTTTTGCTGACGTCATCAAAAACGGTCCCTGAAGCACAGCTACGTCGCGTGAACACGTTGTTCAAGCACTCAGCGTAGTTCGTGCAGGAGTTGCAGAGTTGATAATTTCCGGCGTGTTTCCTTACACAGGCAAAGGAAGGATCATCGGGAATGGCGACGGTATAGGGGGGAAGCTCGTAGTCGGTCGGGCAATTCAAATCCCCGCAGTACTGACATACCAGATTTTCGTCAAACAAAAATGGCGGAACGTTTCCATCTGTTTGACGCTTTGGGCGCTTTCCTCTCTTTGCTTCAATTTTCTTTCTCAGCTTCATTATGTCCGAGGTGTTTTTCTTTGGTTCTGAATAAACAAAATGAAGACGAAGTTAACTTTGCTAACATTTTCTGTACGTGCAAAGGCGCATACTGGGTAAATATGGACCTCATAATTAATTTAACCGAATATACATGTCGGCCTACAAAGCATGTAGATCTCGTGGTGTTGGCAATTGTAAAAAGTAAAAGTGAGTGAACAAAAGCGACACGTCATCACAATAAACAGACTATGCCATAAAGCCAACTCATTTACTTCCAGTAACAAGGGTTGCTTAAGTTTTTTGAAATAAAGCAATTTCTTTCTTTATTATTTTTTTTACAAAATAAACAACATTGTAGACTTACTTATTTTCCCAAGTTTGGTCTTCACCAGGTTTGCCGTCCTTTGCGACATTTTCATGTCGCCACCAAACTCTACAATGCCGACCTTGTTGCACATGTCAGTGCTACAGACGCAGATGGTCGTGAGGACGGCGTTTTCCTCCACATGGTGGCAGCCGACATCTTTGGAAACCCTGTCATAAAGGTTCGATATCCCGCCTCGCACGATTATGGACGCGTTTGTATTCACTGAAATGGAGTTTAAGTCTGCTTAGATTTGACGAATTGATTATTGGTATATATTTGAGTATTTCAATTCCAAGATGAGTACAAATACATGTAAGTAGTCAGCTTGCAAGTATAAAATAAATGAGATCAACTGAGTAGGATTATGTATAAAAAAATGATAATAATAAACTTAACTCCTCCTTGGCGGAGGAAATTTATTAAATGGAAATTATTATATTGTATGGAGTTATTTTCAGCTCTGCTGTGTACATTTATTTTGACAAGTAAAACATCTTGAAATGTACTAAATTAAAAAAATTAAGTACTTACGATTGATCTCTTTCTTAATGTAGCACTTTCCAGTTTTGTCCCCTTTCACGATGACATCATTCTCGTGATCTGGGCATGCGTACTCGGCACATCTCGGGTGTGTCTCGGAGGAGCACTCCAGACAATCCACTGTGTTCACCACCGGAGCTGATGTTATAAAATAGATATTTGATTAATGTTTTTTTCTCTAACATACGGATACGGCGTTGTAGTTATAGTCAATTAAAAGAAAAGTTTCGGAACCACATCTGTTAAAATGTTTTGAATTGATTATTGCAAGCTAAATATTATGTTTGACATCGGAGCGGTAAACAAACAATATACTCCCATTAATTGATTTCAAATTATTTAAATAAGTTGGAATTGTGTTGTAAAGTAAATAAATAAATGCTTATGCTAAAATGATTTTTTAAAATTCTAAATCATTTCAGCTGAGCTTATATCAGAACATGGAAACCGTTTTTGTGGTATTATGACGTCACTGCACCTCTCCATTACCCCTCCCCTCTCACCTGACCCGCATGCTGCTGCTCATTAACGTGATATGTTATTAAAACCAGGGGTGGATCCAGAGATATATTCTGACAATCTTCCAACTTATCTTTGTTGATCCATCCTACATTTTGACTGTCT